GTCTATGTTAAGTGTTCAGTTACAAGACAACAATTTTTCAAAAGAAAGACATTTAGTTCCCATATCAGCTGGGTTAAACTCAGGGGCAATCTTGCACAGCTTCACTTCTCCTTTTGTCAACAATATCCCTGATAAAATGGAATCTAACGTCAACGTGCTTGGTCCGATCATGGAACACAGGATTTTTGCACAACTGGATATCTGATTGGCTATCTGAGTACATAGTCACAACCTGTCTAAGAAAACTAATTTCAGATTTTGATACGTTTCATCCAAATTGCCTCTTCAAAGGCTTCAGGGGCTGCAACATATTCAGATTCAGTAGTAGAAAGAGCTACAATAGGTTGCAATTGGGAATTCCAACTTATGCAGGACCCACAAAGTGTAAAAATATAGGAGATAGTAGATTTCCTATTATCCCTGTCATTTGCATAGTTGGAATCAACAAATCCAATCAAAGAGATACCAGCAGGAGTATTAGAAAAGATCAGACCATGGTTAATGGTACCCTTGAGGTACCTTAACAACCATTTTAGGGCATTCCAGTGTGGAAGCCCAGGGTTTGCCATGTATCTACTCAGGCAGCTAGCAACATAGGTAATGTCTGGCCTAGTGTTTACCATGAGGTACATCACTGACCCTATTGCACTGGAATAGGGCACATCATTCATGCTTTCAATTTCAGGATCGGTCTTGGGGGACTGATCCTTACTTAAGACAAAATGAGAAGCCAAAGGAACATTAACGGGGGTGGCAGCATTCATATTAAACTTACACAAGTCCCTTTCAAGATAAGAAACCTGATTTAATGTGAGGGTACACCTACTTCTGTCCCTAATTATATCAATGCCAAGAATTCTTTTAGCATCACCAAGATCTTTCATAGCAAAATTGTCACTTGAACATTTTTGGACATGTTTAATGGCATTAAGGGAAGGACTAATGAGCAGCATGTCATCAACATCAATGAGCAAGAAAATACGAATAGATGTAGTATTCTGAAAATACAAACAATGGTCAGAGACAGATTTCCTGAATTTCAAGGAAGACATGCATTGGTCAAATTTAATGTTCCACTATCTAGGGGACTGTTTCAGTCCATACAGTGCTTTCCTAAGTAGGCGGACATACTCACTATTCTTAGAGTCAACAAACCCTTCATGTTGGGTCATAAAAATCGTCTTATCTAAGTCACCATGCAGAAATACAGTGGTGACATCCATCTGCTTCATTTCCCATTTGTTGTGGGCAACAAGGGCAAATGTCATTCTAATAGTAGTGAACTTAACTATAGGGGGGCAAATATCTCAGAATAATCAACACCTTCTTTTTGGGTGAAACCCTTAGCAACTAACCTAGCTTCGAATCTATTGTCATTGGGTTCTTCTTTAACCTTAAAAAGCCACTTACATTCTACCACAGAACTGTTAGGTGGTCTAGGTACAAGAGTCCATGTTTTATTCAACCTAAGTGATTCTAGTTCACTTTTCATGGCACTCTGCCATTTCTAACATTCTTTAGATGCTAGGGCTTCCTTGTAAGACTTAGCTTCATTTATGTCTAGGGTTTCAAAAACAGAGAAGGCAAATAGAAAAGTATCACAAGCATGAAAAGCAAAATCAGTCATGCTCTCAGAAATCCTCCTAATTGTTCTTCTACTTCTATCCCTAGCCAACTGATAACTATTCAGACTGTCAGGTTCAACAATGATCTCCTCCATTCACTACTGTCATTATAATCAGATTCAATAATAATATCATGCAACATCTCATTATTCTCAGACTCATTGGGATGCTCCACCTCATTTGAGGTGGAGGAGTTTTCATGTTCATTTTGGGAAGAGTCATCAGCATCAGATCTTTCTAAGTCAACACATAAAGGGTCATCAGCTATAGGAATAGGCTCCACCTCACTGGGAGACTTACTAGACTCAGAATCAGGCTATCTTATAGTTTGACTTAGACAAGGGAAGTCAGACTCATTAAAAATAACATTCCTGCTGACAATGACCTTAAAACCAATCTGATTTCTGTCTCATATCCTATACCCTTTCACACCTTCAGGATGTCCCAGAAAAATTCCCATTTTAGACCTAGGTTCAAGTTTATCAGTCTGTTGGTGGACATAGGGAGAACACCCAAAAATCCTCAAGTTTGACAGATCAATAGGTTTGTTAGAGAAAACAGACTCAGGATATCTTCCCCCTAAAGGCACAGAAGGAGACCTATTGATTAGGAAGGTGGCAGTGTTCACAGCCTCCCCCCAAAACTTCTTGGGGAGGCCAGAGGTAGCAAGCATACTTCAGACTTTGTCAAGGAGAGTCCTATTCATCCTTTCAGCAATTCCATTTTGTTGGGGACTTCTTATTCACTATTGACATGGTTAACTTAAATTACTCTTAATCTTTTGCTTTATATATCAAGTTTTTATCAAATTCACATTTTTTTATCAGGCATTGTAACAAATTTTATGTAGTTTCTGAATATGTAAATTTTATTTACTAAAAATAATCTGAGTGTGAACAGAGATTTAATTGCTTTATCGTCAATCAAACATCATAATCCAAAATGGGAAGTTCTTTATGGGACGAAATATTACTATTGTTACTATGCATATAGTCAATATAGTGGTAGAGTGGAACACAATCGTGATAACTAAAGTATGTATGGTAGCCACTAAGTTATATGTTGTTAACTACCTTTATTTCAATTATATATTTATAATAATTTTTTCAATTAATTTAAATCGGTGCATTCCGACATTATTCGATTCTTAATATTCGTAACCACAAACACTACAGTTATGGTGCCCACTTTTTGTGTTTTCTTTTTTCACTGGTCCTCCTCTATATCTTATCTGACTAGCGTTTGGTCGCCCAAGGCGCGAGAACTTTTGCCCAATGTCAAAATAATAATGTTTCTTGTAAATAACTATCATATGTGAGATTGTTATGAGATTTGTTAAACAGTGTACAAAATTATTCTACTTTCATTATATGTGAGATTGTTATGAAATTTTTTAAGTAGTGTACGAAATTGTCGTACTTTTTTTTGTAAATAATTGAATCAATTATATTTTTAGTCCGCCAACTATTGTATGGATGATGTGTCCATGTTTTTAAGACTATGTGATTCCATGAGTTGATTATACTTTTTTTTATTATATATTACTCCAGGGGGGTCTGGGGGAAGCCTGGAGTAATCAAGTCGGGCTGAAACTCACTCTATTGAGTTTCGAACCCTTATGTTCTTAGCGTACATGTTTCGAACTCGAGATCTCTCGCTATGCACGATAACCTCACAACCAGCTGAGCTGGAATGCTTGGTTGAGTTAATTATACTTTTCCATTATATACTTAAGTGGAAAAGTATATATTATACTTTTCCATTTAAGTATATGAAATAGTTGTAATATAGCGGTGCTAGATTTTTATTATAATTTGTGACAATAGTGTTATCAAACTTCTTACATTATGTATGGATTGAGTTGGTAAATGTGTAGGTGTCATGAATTTCGAAGTTCAATACTACTTCATCTCAGTTCTCACTTTTCTTTTTTGGACGTCTCATATAGAAGTTCTCATTTCCATTTAAGAAAACAATTAACAATCTTAAATGAAAAATTAATCATTAAATATTAAAAATAACCGATTTATAACATCATCATATCGACACCAGCCTTATTATATAATATGCCTATTAAAATTATTTCTCAAAATATACTCAAACCACCTTATTAAATTATTGTCTAAATAACGGTGTCGTTTTGTTGAAAGGTTCTAGAACCTTTCAACGGAACGGAGGTTAGTACGTACTAAAATACTACTCCGTATTATATAATTCTAAAATTGACCATGTGACCTTAATTAAAATATTGTTATATAATTCTAAAATATAAAATATTTAATTAAGTACATTATCATCAAAATTGACCCAGGTGAGCTTCCACTTCCATTTCTTTCCTTAAGTCTCCAATATAAAATAAGAGTTCAGAAGAATCACTTGTGTATATACATCATGATTGATTATTTTTCCCTTAAAATAAGTTCCTTAGTAAAACATATTCCATCAGCAAAGTTTTGAAAATGCTATGATGGAAGTGGGCAAGAGTTATGCGGTTATGAGTTTTAGAAATTGAGTAACGGTGACTAATGGAATGTAAATGTTAGGAGAGAATAGTTAGGGTATAGAAGTTCTATTAAAAAGTTAGGTTCCATTTTCCAAAAGCAATGTACAACATGTCAAGCACAAATTGTATTGACATAAGTTAATGATACTAACTCCCATTCACAATTATAAGTTTGTTAGATTAGATAGTTGATATGAAGCAGAATCTGGGCTTGGAACAAGAGGGGCAGAAGCCCCCGTGGGTTTACCGAAGGCTGGACGGGCTTGAGCCCACCTTCGTGGGCTGGTTGCGGTGGGCTGGTTGTGGGCTGTTTAATTAATATTTATTATTCCTTTTATTTTGTTTCCTAATTTAATTTGTTTCCTAGTAGGATTTATTTAGGACTTCTATTCTTATTAGAATTAGAGGTTTCCTATTTCTATTTAGTTTCCTAGAATGATTTAATTAGGAGTTCTATTAGAACTAGAGGTTTCCTATTCTATTTAGTTTCCTAGATTAATTTATTTAGGATTCCTATTCTTATTAGACCTAGAGGGTTATTTATACCCCTTGTATGCTTCATTCTTGAGGATCGGGTAATAAAAGTTGGTTTAGCCTTTTGGCTTTGGGCAACGGTATTTATTTATCGTTGATTATCGGGCAACGGTTCATACCGTTGAGTTTATTTTTCTGTCTTTATCAATAGTACTCCGTATAAATTATGGCCAATAATAGGCCTACTGAATTATGACAATTACTCCGTAATATCTTATCTAAGCTAACAGGACTACAAATTATCTAGTCCTAATTTTGATCTTTGTGTATGTTTTAATTTTGAGAAATGGTGTCAAATAGGACCTTAAGTTTTCGTATATACTTAAATAGGACCTTGACTTTTTTTACTCCTAAATAGGACCTAATTTTTTCCGTGTTCCAGGTTTGCCCCTGAATCTATTAGGCCTTGCTCCCCTTCTCTTCTCTGTGGACAAAAGCAACCATACTTCTCTTTCATACCATAAGCGACCAGGCAGGCAGTGGAGGACCTAGGCCGGGGCCTACCGGGGCAAGTGCCCCGGTTTCTGGCCAGGAATTTCACTATTAGTACTTAGGGTAAAATAGGTGCCCCTGCTTCCGGTCAAAAATTTCATTACTACTACTTCGGGTAAATTTAGTGCCCCAACCCGTACAAAAAATTATGAGCATTAGATAATCAAGATACTAAAATGTTACGGTTATATAAATTAACAATTAATACACAATATTTAAATTTTAGTTGAATTAAAATGAAATATATAGAATTTTCAAATAAGGAGAAAAAGTAGTCGAGGTTTTTTTTATATCACCGAACTAACTGCTTATATTAATAAATCATTCGCCAACTGGCTCTCAAAACAAATATGACTAGAATAAAAAACTATAGAATGATCTGAGAGATTAACGCGTAGTCAAGGGTTAATATACGGGTAATACGGCCAACTAAAAGTAACAAGTGATAAAAGTTTAAAAAACAAGTTGAAGGGCCCAAAAAATTATTAGTATTAATTCAGCCCAAAGCCCAAATTTAGATCCCTTCTAGAGCCTAACTTCAAGCGAGATTGACCGAACAAGTATTATTTTAACGCAATTTAGTAATTGACCGAACGATAAATCAGAAGGCCAGACTCGCTGCTCGCAAGTCGCACCAGTCTAATCAGAAGGCCAGACCTCGCAGTCTCACACCAACACCAAGCTTAAAGTTCACAATTCTTTTCACTTGGTATATCGTCTGATTGAGTTGACTTTAGTATTACCAGTTGCAACAGCCACCGTTGAAAGACTTTGCAATGAATATTATCAAGATATATTTTCACAATAAGATGTGAGATGATTATCTTACAGATTGTTTGGTGTGTTACATCGAGAGAGATGTTTTTAGGAGCATTGATAATGAAATATCATGCAACATGTTCAGAATATGAAAACTCGTAGGCTTAATTTACCAAAGTTGCAGAAGTGAAATATTTAATATGTGATTAACAACTCCGTATAATTTATACTATTGTCTTACTTTTTACCATTGTTCTAAAAATCGGCCTAGGCGGACCGATTAATCGGCCTAGGCGTCAATCAACCGCCCGATTAGCGCCTAGCGAGTTTTAGAACAATGCTTTTTACCATCTTTAGTACATGTGAAAATTTTATTATAGAGTAAATTTAGTGTCTAGTGTGCCCCTGCTTTGACAAATCTCTGGGTCCGCCACTGCAGGCAGGGAGCAGCTTCAGGTGAGTCAGCTACGCAGCGATTGATGTACGACATCAGCGACGGTGGACGGTGGCACGGCGTCGATCGGTGGGCGGCGCATTCTTCTTGTTCTTCTTCTTCTCTTCTCCCCTTTTCTTGTGTCGATCTAGCAGTTTTCTTCTGCAGGTGTAGTTGCTTTTCTTTGGCCTATCTCAGATCTGATTACTAACCTCTCTTTTTTTTTTATTTTGGAGGCGGCCTCTCTCCCTTTTTATGGAATATAAGTTGTATTACGAGTTTTTTTATTCGGAGATTTTCTGTTTTAAAAAGAGAGAAGCGGTTGACAAAAGATTTTCTGTTTTTAATTCGAAAGGTAGATCGACTATGCCTTTTGCTATGCAAGTTACTTTATACTATCGTAACTTTTAACATTAGGTTAGCTCATCTGGTGCATTCTATTTATCATATAACCTTTGAGTGCATGTTGCTGAACTACCTAACTAATTAATTTATTTGAAGTTTTTTCAAATACGATAGTACAAGTTATCAACCGGGTTAATTTTACCCATCTTGATGTGGTGGTGTAATTGATTTTAATTGATGTATCTTCACTGTAAAATAAAGTACTCCGTAAAAGGCAGTTGATTAAGTAGAGACATGTGAGCAGTTGGCTCTTCCAGACGTAGCAATAAACATAAAGTATAAAGTGATGAATGTAATTTGGCTTTGTCTTGCAAACATTGCACCTGCTGAAATAAAAATTATACTCCGTATTTTATAGCTTCGACATTAGTTTTAACAATGTCATTTTCATAATGAATGACATTCTTATGACATTGTCATTGACATTCTTATGACATTATCATTGACATTTTTATGACATTGTCATCATGATTAATTGACATTACAACATTTTTTCGACGTTGTGACTTCTTTTTTATAAAATTAACATCGTCACAATAGCTATATATTGACATTGTCACAATGGCAATATCATTTATAGCATCGAAAATTACATTGCCATTGTGACATTTTCTTATCTCGATGACATTTTTATACATTGACATTTTTATGACATTGTCATTGGAATTGTCATTGTGTCAAGATATGTCATTGTAATTCCATGACACTAGTTATGTACAATAAACAATGTCATAACATTGATGATATTTTGACATTGTGTAATAACAATATGACATTGTTAACAAGTGTCATTGTTTTTTTATGATGTCATTGTGATTGTGATATTGTGACATTATGTAATAACATTATGACATTGTGATACTAAAATTGTACAATTGTCAAGAAATAATGTTTGTTCATTTATAATATTGTGATATTATTTAATAATATTGTGAAAATGACAACGTGAAATTGTTTAAGGAAATTAAGTGTAGACAAAATTAGAATCTATATGGTAAGTAGATAGAAAATTTAGAATAACTAAGAGAATAAGAGAAATTGGTAAAAAAAAAAAAAAATAGAATAAGAGAAAGGAAAACCAAATAAGAATTTAGAGAAACGAAACAAAGGGAACTCGAAATAACAATGAAACAAAATGGAAAATTGAGAAAAAATAGAAGAAAGCAAGAAGGGAAAAATCACAAATAGATCTGGACAACAAAAAGAAGAAAGTTCAATAATTGACTAAGCTGAGCTCACCGATGTCACCTTCCTTCTCCACAGGTCATCGAGACACATATGTGTACCTAATTGACATATATGTGTACCTAATTGCTCCGGCTAGAATCAGCTGAGTAAGCTTTCAACCCCATTTTTGTTCAACAAAACTTGAAAAGAAGCAGCAGCAAAAAATAAGAGAAAGAAGAGGACGATCCGGTGACGACCAGAGGCATATACTCCGGCGATTACTAGCGGCAGACCGGCAGTTAACACAAAACATTCGAGCGTCAAGATGAAGGTCAACGGAAGTGAGGACAGCTTCAATTCGGTCAGGGAATTTTGAATCCCGATGGATACGATGGAGGACGGCCAGGGAATTGTGAATTCGTGAATTCGGCTTCGTTGCTTGTTGTGTGGCTGGTGCGTGAGATGTGAGGGTATTTTTGTCCCTCAGGGAAAAAATAGTCCTAGACGGGAGTCAATAAACATTGAGTCCTATTTAATTTCCACGAGCATCTTTTAGTCGTACTTATGTCTTTATCCCTTTAATTTTAGATCGAGCAATTTCTACAATGAAAGGGAGGTCATCAACCCTCACGATTTAAGCAAAAAAAAAGGAAGATGGATCGACTAGCTACTGACACACTGTTTTAAAAACGTACAGAATGGATATTATATATATGTAATCCCAATTCAATACACGGAAACAGGAAGAATGGGAAACATTAATTAATTTAAAACATGTAGTAGGAGATGATCGAGAACACACTGATCATATACTCCGTATGATGCATCAATTTATAAGGGTGAGTAAGATGTATTTAGCTTATTAGGTACACATATCTGATGAGTAATTAACCACAGTGTTTGGGCTCGAAGGAAAGAGCGGAATGAGCTAGATCATATGTGACCATGATATTCTGCTGCAGAATATTTCCCAAAATTCCAGGCACACTACTATCGCTACTGATCGTGTCCAACAACAAGAATGTCTTGTGTGCCACGTAGTCGACGAGCAACCAGTTCTGGGAGGGGACGGTTAATGTGGCGTTGTTATCGAAATGGATGGACAGCTGGAGGGTGTACACGAGCTCCACGCTCACGTTAAGCTGTTTCCCTGCCTCCTCTAGGATGGCATCAAAAGCTATCTGCGGCAGGTACGTGAGGGCGGTGCGGGAGTCGATAATCATCCCGCCCCTCCCTTCACCGTCCCGCTGGAATACCTCCTTGGACAGGTTGAGCAAGGCAGCCCCGACAGATATTCCCGTAACATTGACATAATAAAACGATGAGTACGGAAGCTTTTGTGGGCTGTCTAGAAGACGGGCTGTTTTATTAGCGGATGTTCCGCCGCCGCCGCCCAGTGTAAGCGTGCTGACTGAATAGAAGGCGATATCGGTTAAGCAATACGAGAATTGGGAGACATTGAGTTGTGAGACCAAGGACATTTTGCCGCGGCCGAGACCGACCAATCCGGTGGGGACATGGGGAGTCATTGAGTCGTGAGAAAATGCTGGCCCTCCTGTCGCTCTGGACCGTGACGTTCCCCGATTCAAATGTAAAGCTCTCTGCGGCAATATGGCCCCAGCTCCATGACCCATTGCGGTAAGTGCTATTGTAGGCACACCCCGCGGGTACTCTTGACATTTTATTCCCTGGTACGCATCTAAGTTTTTGTATAGCCGTACCCTCGTCGTGCAGCAACGCCGGGCAGCAGGGGTAACTCCGGAAGGTACTGGAGGAGTCGGTACTGCTGCTACTAGTCCAAATCACGTCACTGCTGGTGTCCATTTCGAAGCTCACCGCCACCGGCGGAGTCCCGATCGATAGGTTCATCAAGAACGCACCCGATGGGTGAGAAGGCCGTACGCTGGAATTCATCACCACTCGCTCCGATGCCGCCACGCCTGTTGTGGATAGTGATAACGACGACAATGATGGTAGTAGGAGGCCAGCAAACCTCTCAGCGTCGCCCTTTACGGCGTGTTGCACCCGCTCCAGCCTCGTCAAGTTTTGTCCGCCACCGTTGTGCTCTCGGCGTCTCAGATTCACCCGAACCTCTTTCCCATCATGCGGAAACCCAGCTGAAGCCGTTGCGGCGGAACTGGACCAAATAACAGTGATGACCACGACCAGCCAAAACCTCACTGGAAAAGAACCCGCCATTATTATATGTATATATTGCCCTCCCATCCCGGCCTTTATGTTTTGTTCACTGAATTTTTAGTTCCTATTCGTATCGTTTAGTTTCGTTCTATATATTGAGGATCGGAGGTCACGCACGCGACTATTCACTTTTCCAAAATAAATTACCTGACACAATACTCGTTACCTCATATATGACGTCTTGACGTCAGTTTTAGTGGAACTCGAAGACTTTCAATTTTTTTGGCATTACATCGCTGACCGTTTTACTTTGAAATTAAAAAAACTTTAGGAGATGCCATAATTGATGTTTAGTACGGGAGTATCTTTTTACTTAAACTTTAATTTGCTGGACTGGTCTGGTCTGGTCTGATTTCTTTGTATTTTTATAACCATTCAAGTCTGATCTGGTCTGGAACGAATTACAGTCCAAGTAAAAACATCCTTAATCCAACACTGGTTTGTAACAATGTCAAGTTTATGACATTACATTTGCCAAGGTAATAGTTCAAAGACGAAGATGACATCTCCAAAGAGTAATAATGTCATTCACATGACATTTTCGAAACAAAAATGACATATTTATAGTGTCAGTTTTTTTAATAACAATGTTAATTTCAAAACACAATGTCGCATATATATATATATATATAACTAAAAATTTAGTATTTATATACTCCCTCCGTCTCGTTGGGATTTCCCACTTTCCTTTTTTGGATGTCCCAAAAAGAAGTTCTCATTTCCCTAAATGGAAAGTTATCCTACATAAAAACAGTGCCAAACAGTGTCCAAACAGTGTCAAAACAGTAAAATTTACCCCCAGGTAAGTTTATTTCCTTGATATGTGTGTAGGTCAAACCGGGAACATCCCAACGGGACGGAGGGAGTAATAATAAAAATGAATTAATGTATAAATCAATGATGAGTTAGTCTGTTATTGGTTAATAATAATTCTATTATCACTATTACTAAAACATTTAATTAAGGAAACCTTTAATCAAATAAGTCCTCATGCTACTTTAACTAAAATGATAATTAAGTCCTCATACTTCATCCAATTAAGCCCTTAAAATTTTATAAAACCACCAAATCAAAGTTTTGCTTATGTGACATCCCTACCCGACCACATCATCCTTTTATCACCACCTTGGAGTGGCTTGCACAGCCAATATTTAATAGAATAATTAAATAGGGATATTTCTGTATTTTTACATTTACATTCTCTAGTATAAATATATCTGTCAGGCTCCTTTGAGGGTAGCCTGTTCCATTATTCCACATGGTATCAAGAGCCCTCTGAAAACCTATTTCTTTTTCGTTCGTATCTCTCCTTACGAACGCCGCAGACCACCATGTCGTCTTCTTCGAGTGAGCCTTCATCGACAATCACCTCCACGGTTATGTCTTCTTCCGCTGCAATCTCGACTTCTTCTCCGGCTGTGACATCGGTGGTTAGCTCCTCTCCTGCACACGTTTTTTCTGGCGCTCCAACTTTCAGCGGATCGCAGCCAGCAATTTCTACATCCATGGCGTCTGGTGTATCTTTTCTTCTCGGATTACATCGCCGAGCCATACCTCAGGCACGTACTCTCTATTTCAGAACCTTCCTCCAATTTTTCCGTGGTCTGGCGCTTCCCCTGTGCAGTCGGTCAGCCTTGAGCCACCTCCCCTCTCGGCTGGCTTGTTTGCTGGACCGTCGTTTGTACGCTCGCCAGGGATATCTTCATCTGTGCCGCACCTTCGACCTGCAGCAGACAGTCCTAATGACTCCACGTTGGCAACCCTTGCTCAAACAATATCTCACGTGGCCACCAACGTCACCAATATTGTTACCACCAAGCTTCAAGCTGTGGAAGATTATACTACTTGGCGTACTCAGTTTGAGTCAATCCTGGTCTCGCAAGGTCTTCTAGGCATGGTTGATGGCTCAATTCAGGTACCCTCTGCTTATTCCACAGACTTTCTCAATCGCCAGTTTCCCAATCCCGATTTCTCTACTTGGATACGAATTGACCAAACGATTCGTTCCTGGTTGTTTGCTACTTTATCACGAGATGTGTTAATTGATGTTCGGGATTTAAAACACTCCTCTGAAATTTGGGAACGGTTAGAGTCTTATTTTATGTCTGCCAGTTTAGCAAGGTCTATGGAATTAAAGCGCCTATTGGGTCAAGCTAAAAAGAAACCTGACCAGTCTATGGATAGCTATTTGCGTGAAATTAAAATTTTAGCTGAAAACCATTATTATGGGATTGGGTCCGGAGTACGAATCTCTGTTCACAACGGTTTCCTTGTTCCCACAAAATTTTCCATTTGAAACCTTGCGCACTCATCTTTTGGAACAAGAACAGAGAGTTCTCTATCTACGCTCCCAAGAGACCTCCATGCACCAAGCTTTTGGTGCGCATGCTCAGCAGCCTGGACTGCCTCCTGCTCAGCAGGCTGGTCAACAGCCAGGCGGTAATCCACATCGGGCAGGTTACGGACAGCAGCCGCAGGGGCAGCGTGGACGTGGCGGCAGAGGACGTGGAGGCCGCGGTCGAGGTGGCAGGGGACGCGGCCGTGGTCAGCAGCATCAACCATATGGTCAGCAACCCGTTTGGTATCCTCCTCAGCCCAACACTCAGGTGTTTGCGTCCGGTGCTGGTGGAGCACCTGTTCCGGCGGGATTTAATTCGCCCACAGGGGGTGCGCCTTACTCAGGTATTGTCATTCGTAATTCTACTGTGTCCACTTTAAATATGTATACTTCACCTGTTTGTGCTACTAACTTGGTTTCTGTAGGCTCGTCATCAGATGGAGGCGTTCTTGGGTCTGTCCCCCGTCCTATTGTGTGTCAAATTTGTTTTTCTGCAGGTCACTCTGCCATCACTTGTCCTTCTCGTTTTACTCAGCCGTCTGCTCCAGCTTTGTTGACAACTCCAGGGGAATCAAATTCAGCTTTGTGGTATCCTGATTCAGGAGCGTCTGCTCATATGACTGCCACAGAAGGTATTCTCTCTAATAAATCTACTTACAATGGCTTTAATTCTGTCAGTGTTGTTAATGGTGCCCATTTACCCATTTGTCATATTGGTGATGTTGCTTTACCATCTTCTGGTCGTCCTCTTACCTTACGATCTGTTTATCATGTGCCTCAGCTAAAATATAATTTAATTTCAATTAAACGTTTATGTGCTGATAACAACTGTACTGTTATTTTTGATAAATCCTCCTTTTTTATTAAGGATCGAGCAACGGGGGCGGTGCTTCTACGAGCTACCAGTAATGGACCACTTTATCCTCTACATCTACCCGCTTCATCACCTATAGTTTTAGCGTCAGTTTTAGCGTCTGGCCCTGTGTGGCACCGTAGACTAGGTCATTGTAGTGATTCTATTTTGCAGTTTCTTAAACGAAAACAATTTTTATGTAATCACACTCCTTTTACCCATGACTGTGTGGCTTGTCGTCTAGGAAAATCTCAACGTTTGCCCTTTACGGATGCTAGTCATAATTGTTCTTCTCCTCTACAGATAATTCATTCTGATGTTTGGCAATCTCCGGTGTGTTCTAATTTGGGTTTCAAGTATTATGTCTGCTTTATTGATGATTACTCACGCTTTACTTGGATTTATCCCATGCACTTTAAGAGCGACGTTTTTATGCACTTTAAAAATTTTAAACTTTTGGTTGAAAATCTTTTTAATCAGAAGATTAAAATTTTTCAAAGTGATGGAGGGGGTGAATTTGTTAATCGAAATATGCAGCAATTTTTTATGGATAATGGCATTTATTTTCAAAAATCATGCCCTGACACACCTCAACAAAATGGGGTAGCTGAGCGAAAACATCAAATAAGTATTTTCAAAACCCGACACTAATATGCGAGTCTGAACAATACAATATTCCATCATGCACTACGTAAAACATAAATTGTTTTACAATTGTTTGGTAAACCGGAAATTCAATACATAACTTGAATTTTAAATTGAATTTTCGAGGACGTTCGGGTGCGGTGTCACAAGTTCACCCCCCCCTTAACAGGAATTTCGTCCCCGAAATTCACAACTCTACTCAAATAGGAAAGCATACTGCTTCCTCATCAAAGCCTTTGTTTCCCATGTCTCTTCTTCGACTCGATCGCTCTTCCAAAGGACTTTAACCATTGGGACTTCTTTACTCCTCAGTTTCTTCACCTTTCTATCAATGACCTTGATCGGTTGCACAGCGTAGTTCAAATCTTCACGTACCTCTACAGGCGGTTTTTCCAATACGTGGGAGGGATCATGTACATACTTCTTAAGCATGGATACATGAAACACATTATGTATCTTCTCTAATTCAGGTGTTAACTGCAGACGATATGCTACGGCCCCAATCCTCTCTATAATTCTGAATGGGCCTATGTATCGTGGGTTAAGCTTTCCTCGGGTTTGGAATCGAATGATTCCTTTCCAGGGAGAAACTTTCAGGAATACCTCGTCATCAACCTTAAACTCCAAGGTCCTTCGACGCTTATTTGCATAACTCTTTTGTCTGTCCTGAGCCGCTTTGAGTCTCTCTCGAATCAACTTCACCTTTGAGTTGGTGATCTCAACCAACTCGGTACCCTCGAGTTTGGCCATGCCAACCTCATCCCAGCATAACGGTGTACGACACCTTCTCCCATACAATGCTTCGTATGGAGGCATGCCGATACTTGCCTGATAACTGTTGTTATAGGCAAACTCCACGAGTGTTAAGTGGTTGTCCCAACTTCCTTGAAACTCCAATGCACAAGCCCTCAGCATGTCTTCTAAGATTTGTATGACTCTTTCAGTCTGCCCATCCGTCTGTGGATGGAAAGCAGTACTGAACTTCAACCTCGTCCCCATAGACTCCTGAAATTTCGGCCAAAAACGGGATGTGAATCGTGGGTCTCTATCGGATACTGATAAGTTCGTATTTCAACACGCATTTGATGCGTGTTAGGGTCGGATTTTGATGGCTTTCCTAACTTTTGGGTGTCGTAAGTCTCAATTTTAGCTCAAGTCATGTGTACCGGGCGTAGGTACGAGTTTTGGTATTTTTCAGAGTTGAAATCAGGTTTTTGGGACCCGGCATCGGCATTCGAGAAGAGATCGGGACGAGTTAAGAAGCATTCGAGAGTGAATTCGCAGTTCTGGAGGCCACTGGGAGATTCACGATGAGGTTTTGATGAAGAAAGAGCTATTGGATCGATCGAGTGGTCAAACGGAGGCTTAAAACGGAAGAGATCGAAGAAAATGAAGAAGAAAGGCCACGCACGGCCGTGCGTACGGGGACGCACGGCGTGCGTGCGTGGCAGTAGCGGCCAAGAAGAGTAATGAACAACGCACGGCCGTGCGTCCGGGTATGCACGCCGTGCGTCCAAGGCGTTTAAATGAAGA